ACCAAAAACCATTTGGTTTACTGTTTTAACTTTTGTGTTTTATTTCTGGATAACAAAATGAGAAAGAAATTTCCAGGCAGCTAACTGGAGTCTTTCTCTGTATATAAAATTATCTTAGGCATATTCTTTATTCTCAGTAAATGAAAAAGAGATACAAATGTCACTTTTTTTTTTTAGATACTAATTTTTCAAGTGCCAGGAACTCTGTGTTATGCTAGATAAGAATCTGGATTGGATGAATGTACCATGACAAAATGAAGATTAGTTTGAGGCCAATTTACAAAATTCTTATTATATATCCTTCATTCGTTTCTGGCATATATTTCAATATCAGGATTTCCTATGCTTTGTCTTCAATCAGCAAACAATTGTGAGTATAAATCAAATAATACAGGTGATAAATTATAACAGCAGTTTAACCAAGTACTAAACCCTTCAGACAATTCACTCACCAGAGAATTCAATCTGATTTCCACTAAGTACTGGGCATGTTCATTCCACGTGCTCCTAAAAGCTCTCAAATGTTCTGTATTGCAGGGTAGAATATTGATTAGAGAAATAGAAATTGAACCAGATGCCATTAGCCACCTCTAGTGATACGAATCCCTGAAAGAGATCACTTGGAAAATGCTTAAGGATTGAAGTTCAAGACAGCAAGCTATCCGAACACAATTAAAAATTGCCTGACTTACAGCTTTGAAACTGACTTTTTTTCCTTATACATATGTAAATGTTTCTGCAAATCATGGTGTATAATGATTAGGGGGAAAGATCCCATAAAATTCCTGGAGAGATACAAACTTTCAAAACGCATATATAAATTTGCCCAAATACATGGGAATTGATTTGAGCTTAAAATAGTTATTAGAGAAGGTCAAACCTTTTTCGAAGCCCTGTTTCTTTCATTGAGAAAGCAGCCTTCTGAATGATTATTTTTACCCCATGTGTTGTTATTTGCACTGGGTTACTGAGCATATTTTCAAACTGTTTTTTCTGCCCAAGCCTACAGAATCTATAAGAGACGGAAACAGTGATGTAAGAAGGACCAACCCTGGACCAGTCCCCAGAAAGACACCCTCAATAGCTAATAGGCGATAGCCAAGAGCTGAGAAGCGGATGTGAGCATTGTCACTGGGAGAAGTGACACTGTCATTGCATTTTTGCGTCATATATTCATCCTGTAAGGACATGCATCCAATTTGTCTGTGTTCTCGATCCCCATACAGAAGACTTAGGAAATAAAATTTGGGGGAGGGTATAGCTCAGTGGTAGAGTGCAGGCTTAGCATGCACGAGGTCAAGTCCATCCTTAGTACCTCCATTAAATAAACAAATAAATAAACCTAATTACCTCCCTCTCCCCCCAAAAAAGAATTAAAAAGAAATAAATTGAGGCATAATATTTTGTTGTTTGTTCTTTTTTCTGTTTTTCTTTAACAAACCACAGTTTTAATACCCTTCCACCCTCTGCTGTGTTATATTTGTTCTTCAAACACCTTTCATAATTTACTTTCGCAGCAATCACGTTGAGTGAGGTCACTTCCCAAGGTGCCTGACGAAACCAGCCCCCAAACCAAACCTGGCTGCTCACTCAGAATTCTTCCTGCCACACTGGGCTCAGTTCTCCTGAGATGTGCATGGCAGGACTGGCGCCACCACAGCCACGGCAGAGACGAGCTGTGCTTCTCAGAATTGCAAGTTTTCTCTCTGCAGATGAGCCCCTATAATCAACAGAATCACAAAAATCACTTTTGCAAACTTAGTCAATTTTTTCCAAAAAGCAAAAGAAAAAGGCGCCCCGAAGAGTGTTTGATGTTATTTCACATTGCCTTTTTAAATGTGCAAATTAGCCAGTGTCCCATTTCTTTCCCCATTTCAGTCCACAATGTGGGAAGAGCTGGAAGGACTTTCCGGAAGAAATGAGATCGCAGTGTTCCTGCCTCTCTAGAAAGCCCCAAACCAAGTCACCATCGACTTAGGGTGTCTCCTTCCCCCTGCTCTTTGTTCATGCTCCCTGCCAGATGGATACAGTTCAGAGGGAAGTGTTTGCTGCTGAGTCAGGCACATCTCTTCTATTTCAGTTTCATGATAATAACAAGAATGGTCATCACAAAAACACTATCCAAAGAAACTGGAACCCTCATGTACTACTGATGGGAATGCAAAGTGGTATAGGGTGTTTTTTAAAAAGCCAAACATATTAGGCCAAGTGAAAGAAGCCAGACACACAAGGCCACATATTGTATGATTTCATATTTATGAAATTTCTAGAATAGGCAAATCCAGATATACGGAAGTGGATTAGCAGTTTTCAAGGGCTGGGATGAGGGAGAAATAGGGACTGACTGCTAATAAGCAGGGGGGCCCCTTTTGCAGGGGATGGAAATATTCTGGAATTAGGTAGTGGGATGGTTGCACAACATAGTCAATATTCTAAAAACCATGAACCTGTACACTTTAAAATGGTGAATTTTATGTTATAAGAATTATTTCAATTAAAACTAAAAGCACTGGGTCCCACATCCCAAAGAGTCTAAATTAAAGCAACAACTCTGTACGGATATATTTAATTACATAAAAGATACTTTTCTCGATTTAGGGGGTCGGGGGGGAAGGGAATGGAGAGGAATGGAAAGGCCAGTCAACTAGGAATAGAAAGGCCAGAGGAACAGAAAAGGCAAAATGTTCTACTTGTATTTTTGCAAACAAAAAATAAAGTCAAACAGAAGCTTACCATAAATCTTATTATAGACTTCACTCCTGAGAACCTACCCAAGGGAAATGAAAACATGTTTACAGAAATAATTGCATAGGAACTGCATTCATAACAGCATTGTATGTAGTAGCCAAAAACTAGTCCACTAACTGGTGAGTAGGAGACAAAATGTGGTTTATTCATATTGTGGAATAATAGTAACTAAAGGAGTGAAATAATGATACCAAAAAATGCTTCAAAAATATTATGCGAAATAAAAAAAAATCCAGACACAGAAGATTGCATACAGTATGATTTTACTTGACTGTATTTTACAGAAAAGGCAAATTTACAGAGACAGAAAATATATTGTTGGTTACCTAGAAATGATGAGAAGGGTCTAAAACTGGATTGTGGCCATGGCTACATAGCTCTGTAAATTTACTAAAAATTAGTGAAGTGTGTGTTTACAATAAGTGAAAAGTGGGTGGAGGTGGGGAGGAGGGAGGAATGGACAGAGGGATGAATGGAGAAAAGGAGGACGGAAAAGGAAAGGGAGAGGAGATAAAAGAAAGGGAAAGGAGAGGGAAGGAGGGAGAAAAGAAAAGACTGGAAACACAGAGAAATATTTTTTAAAGCAAATAAATATAAAACAATGTGACAGACACAACACAAAAGTTAAAGATTAAGACAAAGTTAATGCAAAATACTTAGAAAAGTCTCAAATGTGCACAAAGATACATCAAGCAAACACGAAAAGGCTTGGCAAGTAACGAACACCATGGGGAAATAGTCAATAATACTGTAATATCTTTGTACAGTAAAAGGTGGTAAATCGACATCATGGTGATCCTTTTGTAATGTATAAAAATATTGAATCACTATGCTGTACACCTAAAACTAATATTATACTGTAAGTCAGTTTTACTTCCATTTTTTAAAAATAGGCCTGGCAACACTCAAAGCAGAAGAGTGGAATTCAAAGCTTAAGCCTTCACTGAGACAAAGAGAATCATTTTCTATGAATGCGGTAAAAGAATGCAGAAATAATAAAGCTTGTCACGTTCTAATTTTCTAACTACGCAATTGTAGCAATACGTTTGTGACTATTCCTATTGGTCTATCACCAAATGGACAATAAATATATTTATTAATGTATTGACAAATACCTGTAATAAGCTTGAATTAGTAGATGTACTCAACATGTATAAAATTGTTTCTTTTCAAGTGTCAAAGAAACATTTGCACAGAGAAAGAGTCCAGCAAGAAAACCTCATTAAGTTCTGAAACACAGAACTTTTTCAGGCCATACATCCTTCCTCTGGAAGAACATGTAAGTGTGAAAGCAGGAGTTTTTTACGTAGTCTTCTTAACGTCTCTGTATATAGAGACCGTGGCTTTGGGGACATCCCCACCTGCTAGACGGGTGACGCTTTGAAGGTGTAAGTGGAACACAGTACGAGAAAGAAATTTTGTGGGTAAGTTTTACTTTTTATTAGTAGAATAAACTTTAATAGCTTATATAAAGGTCCTAATTTTTATAATATTTTATAATATCCTCAAAGATGTTGGGGCAAATTACATTCTCCAAAGATGGCTGCACCAAAATATATCCCAACCCACATGTTCTGACTACAGAAATGTGCAAATAGCACGTTACAGTCAAAAGATACTGACTGCATCCCAGGAAGTACTGACCTTTAAGTCATGACTCCAAATTCAGACCTTCACACTTAAAATCGTATTATACCCTATTCTGCAAAAGCATGATGTTAAAAGCCCAGGATGCAGAGTTACATTTCCAGGGTTTGATTCTTGGTTTACCAGTAACTAATTGTATGACCTTAGACAAGGAACTTAACCTTTCTGTCCCTCCATTTCTTTGATGTAAAATGGGGCTAATGATAGTTCTTAATTCATAGATTTATCACTAATGAGTTAATACATGTAAATAAATAATTTGGAATAGTTCTGAAAATATGTCATATTCTTAATATATAGTACTTGATATTTTATTTTTAAATTTTTAATTGATGTACAGTTGATTTACAGTGTTGTATTAGTTTCTGGTGTACAGCATGGTGATTCAGATATATATATATATATATACACACATATATATACATATACACATATATATACATATACACATATATATATTCTTTTCCAGGTTCCTTATATTATTATTCTGAGTGTTCTTATTTAAGTGGCTGATGTAGAAAGAAAGAAAGGAAGAAATAGAGAAATATCATACCAATAGGCAAGTACTAAGCTGACTTTCTTTATTCAGATTCATAAATGAAGACACTCTGCTGTCTGCTCTGCCAGGTATTTCTCGGGCAACCACATCCTGATATGCTGCGGCAGGACTGAGGCTGCCCCTGGAGGAACACGGCCTGACCCACATACCTTCCGGAAGCTGAGGTTTGAGAGTAGATAAGGAGGAGGGGAAGATGGAGAGGAGAGTTGAAAGCACTGCGAGGAAAGCTAACCCTAAGGAGAGGAAGGACCAAATTCAGGACAGTAGCTGCACCAGAGACAAACCACGTATTTGATCATTTCTCCCAAGTCTGGGCCCCACCTACCCTCAGTCGTGGTTCAAGAGGGGCAAGGCCCATAGGATAACCTGTGCTGGTGGGGACCCAGGCTGAGGATGGTGGGCCAGGAGTGAGCTTTGGAAGAGAAGAGGGAAAAGGCAGAATGCCCTCCAGAGTCCCGCAACCTCCCTGCTCCATTCAGTGATGGAGGGGCCAGGGCTTTCTCCTTCCTGCTTCCCACTGAATCCCACATCCTCAATGACTCACCATGCTTACCCGACCCCAATCATTCTGCACACCACAGCACATGGAGACGGTGTCACGGGCAAATGCTTAGTCCGGATTTGGCACTAAAACTGAAACTCTTGGGAGGGGGATCAAGGAAGTGGAAGAAATATCATTCCTTGAGTGCCTGCTACAAGTCAGGAAAAGAGCTGGGTCCTCTTCCATTATCCCGTGCAGCCCTCAAAAATGATTCTGAGTTCAATATTTTTATTTATTTCCAGGTAAAATGGGAAATTGAGGTTTAGTCTTAGAACTGGAATTTGAATCCAATGCCGGTCCCCAGGCTCCTGATCTTCCGAGTACAGCCCGCTGACTCCCCGCCAGTGAAAAATAAAAATGTCAGTCTCCACAAATCCAATCACTCCCCTCACTGCAGGTCAGAAAAAGGAGAGAGAACTAAGACAGCAGATGCCAAAGCAGGACTTGAGATTCACAATAACAGGATGTGCTGAGCGCAGCAGCGTTCCCTGGTTATCACACCCTTTGGTCACCTGCTCTCGCTCTGCCTGTTTACAAGTCAGGAAGTGAAGTGGCGATGGCGAGCATGGGGGGAAGCTGAGAAGCAAGCGAACTCCACACGTTCCACTCAGCCGTCATGGTTCTCTCACGTTCGGTTATCAGCAGGGGAGAGAAAATGTCCAGCCAAGAAGAGTGTGCAGGCCACGTCTCCCAGTCTACTCAGCCTGCAGGCACAGTAAGAGAAATGAGATAGCAACCTTAGGCAGAACCCCTGGGGCACCAGCAGCGCCCTCCTCCAGTCAATCCCTCCCTTTCTCTTCTTTCTTTCTTTGTTTTTTTTTTTTTGTTTGTTTTCTTGGTTTTTTTTTTTTTTGGTATTTTATTTTATTTTATTTTTACTAGTTCTACC